TCAACCTGGTTGTGAATTTTATGAGAACCGGTTCATTCACCCATAAAAATGCAAGGATGATAGAAAGCATGTTTTCAGGTAGGCCATAGGAAGTTCTATTGGTAATGTCTGAAGGAAGTATAAGAGTCTGGGAAGAACATTCATTTTTAAGATTCTATTGCACCCAAACCATGAAATTGAGTTGAAGCAATAGATAGGCTAGGATCACCCTCCCCAGATATCGGACATGGGATATAGCTCATCTAAATTAAAAGTGAGGTTGCAAGTGTTGCATACAATATGCAGGGAATTAAACACTAAGGGCCTCTGAATTAGCATAATCATTTTTAAGTCAACCAAAGCTCCATATATATCCAGTTTGGGTAGCAAGTTTGGGAGGGGCGATGTAAAACAGGTCGTCCCGTAGGCCAAACATATTGCATTTTTGTACAGTATTGAGCCATTTGAACTAGGCCCCATTTTAAAAAGGACTCGCCCGAGCCATTTTAAAATTCATAAATCAACATTAGATTGTAACTTATTAACTGTAAAAAGCCTTCAAATGTTGTATTGCACAGTATTGTTTCACTTGTACTAGGCCCCATTTTAAACATGAACCCCACCAGTGATTCTAAAATCAAGAAATCAACATTAGATTGTAATTTATTCACTAACCCCCTAAACAATATTGTAGTACCAGCATACTCAGTATTTATTCACTTGTACTAGACCCCATTTTATACAGGACCCACACTAGCCTTTTAAAATTGAAGAAATCAACATTAGTGTGTAATTACTTTGCTGAGTTAAATGCCCCCAAAATGTCAGTGTCTACATGCACAGTATTTAAAACCTTTACCAAGGCCATTGTGTCAACAGGAACCACCACAGCCATTTTTGAATCAAGAAATCAAGTAAAGAGTGTACCTATTTAACTGAAAGAAGTCCCCAAAATATTCTAGTGACCATGTGAATGCTCATTAAACACTTTGACTAGGTCACTTTGTCAAGACCCACATAAGTCAGCTTTTAATATAAACATCAGCATTATAGTGTACTAATTGCACTGACACCCCCCCAAATTTTATAGTGAGTTTGTGCAGTCTTTAAACACTTTTTCTAAGCATTAAGTCCACACCCCCTTTTTAATGAAATCTAGATTAAAAAAAGGAAAATGTGCAATAAAAAATCGCTAAAAAGCTAAGCAACAAAACTGCAACTGAGGTATATCTCCCTGCTATGGGAGTGTGTAAAATACAGTGGAGGAAAGTTATCAAAACTGGAGCAGACAGAATCTGGAGCAGTTGCCCATGGCAACCAATTAGCATCTTTCTTCAGTTTGCTCAGGTAAGATTTGAAAATGAGACAGAGAAGCTGATTACTTGCTGTGCAAATCTGCTCCAGATTTTGTCTGCTCCAGTTTTGATAAATTCCCCTCAGTCTGTCTGTGACTCATTGCAAATATGGAAGTTTTCAGGAATGACCACCAGCATCTAACTGTCCTGGAAACAAGCTATAAAATCTGTTATACCACTATACACCACACCGTTACTATGTCTTTGACTCAATTTAAGTGTTAAGTGATTTTAAAAACGTACGATCTGCCCATCTTGGACAGGCAGATCGTACTCTCGATCATCGCAAGCCCGCCCCACTGAGGGGTGGGCTTACGATGACTGCAATGAGGGGCAGGCTTAAGATGACGGCAAACGGGCTATGTGCGCGTGCGCACACCGGCCCGTTCGGCAGTTGTCGAACCAGCAGGCCACTAACTCGCCGAGAATCATACGATTCCCGGCGGGTTTTCTAGCCTGCTGGTTCGACGGAAGACGTGCGACCGTACAGTAGAAACGGTCGCACGCCTTGCATACACTGCACGATTCTCGTACGATTGCGGGATTTCCCGCGATTCTCGTACGAGAATCGTGCAGTGTATGGGCACCTTGAGAAGGACAAAAAGGTTAATTTAATTTATACAATACTCTTATCCTTTATGTTCCACTGACCTCAACTGGCTGTAAATTGTTATCTTAGAAGTCAGTTGTTCTAAGCAACTAATCTGTCACACCTGTACTGTTTATCTCTAATTAAAAGATTGAGAGACTACCCTAGATGATACTGAAGATATTTTTTTTGCCTTAGCTGCATTTGAAACTGTGGGATTTCCCCCTGGCGAATTAACCTAAACTGCATAACTGTAAGAATCTGCAAAGATTTGAATAAATTAAAGCACTATATGTCTTTTTAAAATGAGTATTGTCAGCTTGATGAGACCCTGCTGATCAATGCATTTATTTATGAAAAAAAGTAATGCTCTTTTTGGAAGGATTTATGTAAATATAATTTCAATTTCATCTTAAGAAAAACAACAAAATAAATGGTATAATGTAAAAAAAGATAAAAGGAAGCATAGGATTATTGTAATTATGTTAACTAAGACATTTGAAATCATGAATATATTAAAATAATTGTAAATTAGGAGGCATAGATGGCTAATGACATGTCCCTGTCACTAAGGGGTCTATTCACTAAGCTGCCGCAGGCAGCCGAGTGAATGACCGACCTAAAGCGAAGTGAGCCCACCCGAAGTACAGAAGGAGTTCAACTCAGCCGATCCAACATCTGGATCGGCTAAGCCGAACCTCCGACAGTCTACTCGCTGCTGTTCGGTCTATTCTTATAGGTGCCGAACAGCAGTGAGTGAATAGCTGTTCTGCTCGGTCTCTCTGTGGTACCGAGCAGAACAGAAAAATAGTTTAAAAAGTAGAAAAAAGAAAAAGAAAACGATTGTGCGGAGCTAGCAATCACAGCTAGCTCCGCCCAACTGTTTTCTATTGGCCAGCGATTCTGCTGCCGTCAAAAAAAGAAAAAAAAACTCCAGGAGTCTCCCGCTCCCAGCCGCCAAGGAGAGAAACACTGCTTTTTCTTTTTTTTTCTTTATTCTGACACGGCACCGTGTCAGAACAGAAAAAAATATATACATTTTTGGCCATAGGAATGCATTGCTACATTCCTATTGGCTATTTCAATTTACAATAGCCAATAACAAACTAGCTATTGTACACACCCCCTGCTGCTGTATGAAGCTACGGCTAGATCCTTCGGCTGCTTCGTGAATAGACCCCTAAGAGCCCTTATATAGTACAGCCCTTTGTCTAGGAGATAAACTGCCTCCATTAATCAAGAGTAACACACTTTCCTTATTAGTTTTCAAGCTGCATCTTGTTTTAGGTTATGCACTGTGGTGCCAGGAAATGTACTATGACATAACAGAGATGTTACATAAGGTACATAAGTAAGCCTATCTACACAATATGTTGAATATGTTTAAATGAATGTAAAAAGAAACAGATTCTTCCCACGAATACCTATATTGTGAGGAGATTGTCCACCACCCAGATATTGACTCCTCTGGTTCCCTCATTAGGGAAGTAATATGGAGATGGCACGTTTTTAACTATTATGTTGTTATGGTTTATCTTGTGTTCCATTTAACCTTCCTGGCGGTATTCCCGAGTCTGGCTCGGGGTGAATTTTCCACTTTTTGGTACAAAATTCCTTACATAATCATACCGCCAGGGAGGTTAATGTGCTTTGATCTATATTTGCTACAGGTGCAGTCTGCGTACTAGTGCATGATTCATGTTACCGGCCGATGATTGCACTTATTTGTATTGTATTATCTGATACTTAATAAAAATTGACATGCTGAAAAAAAAAGAAACAGATTCAATAAAAAGTATGCGAACACATTGTTTTCAATTACAAATCTGATATGCATGAAGTATACTGTATAAAGAAGAGCATTTTTTTCTAATATGAATTAACTTAATGCGTTAATAGAGACTTGCCAATGATTTCTTAATAGAAATGTAAATTTGTCATTTCCTTAGAGCTTGAGGAACAGAATGTGCTTAATAGTTTTATTTGTATTTTTTTACATTGGTGGATGGACCTACAAAACTTCTGTTATACAAATATCTAGACATAAAATCTCAATGTACCCGTGAAGATGTCATATACTAAAGAATCTTTAGTAAATGGATAGGGAACAAGGGGTACAGCTGCTATATGGTGTAGACAGCAGTCTTTTCACCACTTGTATTGCAACTATCTCATCATCGTGGACATTGTTTATTTTGTTTGGCATTATTTCTGCTGTATCCATGTCCAATATTCCTCTTTTTTGGTGGTGGCTGCTTGAGTAGTACCAATTAGATTTCTAAAGTTAAAATTTGATGAGAATAATAGGCTAAAAAGACCTACATTTATCTCAGGTTGCCCATTAGTCAGACAGTGGAAATAAATTGCCAGTTCTTGTAACCAGTAAGGTATTTAGGTAAAGAAACTCTTACAAAACAAGCTAGTTATTTATGTACTAAAGTACACTGGGTTAAGAAATGGTAACATTTTGAAGGATTTGATTACCTAGAGCACTGAGCTGACTTTTCATTGGGGTGCAATTTTGTGAAGTTGGGTGCACTCTTAAATACACAAAATATAACTAGATATTAACATTTAATAACAATAAAATAATAACATAATTATTGTTGATCTCAGGAACATTTGATTGCCTTATGGGATTAAAAATTATTTTTTATCCCTGTTGGAGTGAATTGGACCATGGCGTATAGGGTTTTTGTGCTTCCCTCAGATAAATGGTGGGTGTAGGGCTCTGTTTATGGAGGTTTCCTAGTTATTTAATCATCTTTCTTTTTTTTTTCTTCTCTATTGGTTGAACTTGATGGACTTGTGCTTATTTGTTTTCACATATATTTTGGCTGTTAGCAATTGTCATACAAACCATTACTACAGGAAGATGGCATCAAGTCATATACAGATAGATGGAATTATGCATATGGGACTTGAAAAACAATGAAACACTGTTTCTCCACTGCCACCCAAATGTTTCTGAAGACATTCTAAAACTGTTGTTTACACTGAATTATTATAGAACATTAAGTATGCCACATGCCCAATGATTATCTGTATCATTTATTATATGTCATTATTCTTTTTAGGGGGCTGTACTAACACCAACAATGGACCACACCATGTCAATGCAACCTGCCAGTATGATGGGCCCTCTAGCACAGCAAATGAATCACCTCTCCTTGGGGACAACAGGAACAGTATGGCTTATATGACTTATAACTACTTTGATGATAGAAAGCAATAACATTCTCAGTGGCTGTAGACAACAATGTTAACATGTTTGCTTTGTGGCTTCAATTTTTTTCTTATTAAAAGTGTAATCTCAGCCTTACTTTTGAGTAACCTCACAATTTTGCAGGACATCACTATATGGTATGTCATCAAACAAGAAAATAGAATAACATATTGCCCTTTAAATATAGAACATTTAATATTAGAAATATATTAGAAATATTAGGCCATTTATATAGAACCTTTAAAAACACAGCCCTTTACATACTATTTTTTTTTTTTGCATTAGTCCCTGCCATCAAAGAGCGTACAATCTGAGATCACTATCACACATTCACACACAATTTAGACAGGAGCCAGTTAACCTACCAGCACATCTTTGAAGTTTGGGAGGAAATCAGAGTACTTAGAGGAACCCCACGCAAGCAAGGGAGAATATGCAAACTCCATGCAGGTAGTATCATGGCCAACATTCAACGTGAGAACCCCAGTGTTCCAAGATAGAAGTCCTGCTTTTCTGATAGGCATTCATCCAGTAATGTGCATGAAATCATCCTGTTTTTTTAAAATTTCCTTGTTGATGATTGGAAATTCAAAGTGCACACAGCTTCATTTTATTTACTTAGCTAAGGTAACGTTCACTTTACAAAGCAAATTTTTTATGTGTTATGTGGACAGCCTTTACACCTGAAGTAAATCAACCCCAGGGAAATATTATTGAAACCCATGAAACATTGGATGATGTACATGGGTACCCTAAAAAGCCATTGGTTAAATGATTTCCAAACTTTTCACACAGACAACCTGATGCAAAAAGCTTGAGTCATATGATGTTCAATAAGTAACATCTTTAAGCCATTTTACTAGTCTACTATTGTTTTTAATGAGATTATTATTGATAAAAATGCATCATCACAGATAAGGCCCTTTTTTTATTTTCTTCTGACTAATATCATTTGTTTTCTAGTACATGACTGCTGCTGCACCTATGCAAGGGACCTACATTTCCCAGTATACTCCTGTGCCTCCATCAACTGTTCAAGTTGAGGTAAGTTGATCCAGCTAATGATCTATTTCCAAATGTTTCATTTTTTTAGAAAAACAAATGATTTTAACTTTGGAAATAGCCTATAAATGTGTGCTGATAGCTCATTTTAGATTATGTAGGTGGTGCTGCCCGAGTTTGGAGTAATCTAGTATCAATATGGGGTTTATTCACTAAGCTGCCGTAGGCAGCCGAGTGAATGACCAGCCTAAAGCGAAGTGAGCCGAACGCTGTTCGGCTATTCACTTCAGGCTGGTACGGCCGTACATCGGGTGGCTTGGCGTGGCTTCGGGTGGGCTGAACATGCACAGCATGTTCGGCCCACCCGAAGTGCAGAAGGAGTTCGACTCAGCCGATCCAACATCTAAGCCCAACCTCCGACAGGCTACTCGCTGCTGTTCGGTCTATTCTTATAGATGCCGAACTGCAGTGAGTGTATAGCTGAGCAGCATTCGGCTCGGCTGTTCTGCTTGGTCTCTCTGTGGCACAGAGCAGTTAAAAAAGTAGAAAAATAAAAATACAAAACGATTGTGCAGAGCTAGCAATGACAGCTAGCTCCGCCCAACCGTTTTCTATTGGCCGGCGGTCCTGCTGCCGTCAAAAAAAATAAAAATTTTGGCCGTAGGAATGCATTGCTAGATTCCTATTGACTATTTCAATTTGCAATGGCCAATAGCAAACTAGCTATTGTACCTGTCCTCTGCTGCTGTCAATCAGTAGTGGGGACCTGATGGAGAACTGCAGCAGAGGGCGGGTGCAATGCTAGTTTGCTATTGGCTATTTCAAATTGAAATAGCCAATAGGAATCTAGCAATGCATTCATATGGCCCAAAATTACGGGCTATAGTGAATAGCCCGTACAGCAGCCCTTCGGTTCTACTGAACTGAAGGGGTCCTGGGGCCGTAGCTTCGGCCGATCCTTCGGCTGCTTCGTGAATAGACCCCTATGTATGCAGTGAGAACTGTGTCTACAAATTTTACATTAAAGCATTTCTATAGCCAAACACGGATCTTCCACTACTCCCACCCAATCCCTTAATCATAAAGTACATTTCTTACATATGTAAGTCTCAACTATTATGGAATCAGAATCCCATTGTGACATTGTGGTCATGTGATCTGTGCTGAAGGCAGCTTAGAGGATCGATTAACCAATCAGCAGCTAGGTTTGACTTCTACTTCTCTATTTCAGCAAAAACTGGGTTAAAAATCACTAGAAGGGTTATTATTATAGTGAATAACCGAGTCGAAGTGAACTAAGCTGAACAGTGTTTGGCTGTCCACTTTGGCTCTGTACTGCTGATTTCAGCCATACATCGGCTGTCTTCGGTTGAGCCGAAGTGCAGAAGCAGTTTGACTCAGCTGATCCAACATCTGAAGCTTCGGCAGGTAAGTGCATAACCCTCTAGGTTTTTAAGCATGTGACCTATCACTGTGGAATGTAGTAGTTTACCAGGGAAAGATGTAACAATTTACCTTCCATCTCCAGAGGCAGGTAAGTTGAATATAAACCCCAAGTTTATGTGCTGCTTTTTTAGCATTGTCCGTGAAGAAGATCAGGCTGAAGTATAGAGGCAATCCAGTGCCTGAAAAACCAAGCTGGTATTTTTAAGGCTTATATTCTTTAAGGTCTATGCAAGAGGTATGCAGGAGACCATGGGGATCTTTAATTTTCTTGGGTAAAATAATGAAATTTAAGGGTCTTAACCTGTCATTTCTATTTTGCTATAAATACACTGTTTTAATTTTATAGGGTGTTGTCGCTGATACCTCCCCTCAAACGATACCATCTTCATCACACGAAGCCAGTGGACAGCAGCAACAAATATCGGTAGAGACCAGCAATGAACATGCATCTGCATACTCCTACCAACAGTCTAAGTAAGTATTTGGTAATGTGTCATACTAGATACAGTTAAAAAACTTGGCCTGACAAAAGCGTTTCTTAGGTAGCAGTCTAGTCTTAAAAATCAATCTCTCACACAACTTATACAATTATTTGTAGGTGCCACAAGGTGCCCACACTTTAGCAATATTGCTTAATTAGGTTACACTAAAAGGATCTGTGATCTCATTGCATTCCATAGGGTCTCTCTACATGTTAAAGAAAACATAAACAGAACATAGCCAAAGAAGATGCTAACAGTGCAGTTAGTGTTAGCTGATAACTAGCCTCCTAAAGGCTATAGCGTAAAATATAAATCATCATACTTTTGATTTTGTATTGGAAACAAAACCTAAACATTTTGGTATCTTAAGAGATAGTAAAACCCCAAATATAGTAACTATCTTAGTAAGACATATTTATTAGGGGTCCTGGTTCTCTTAACCATTTGAAGACCAGGGTTCCCCTTTCCTGTTCAGGCCATTTTTTGGTATTTGGTGCTGAGGAATATATGTCTTTCACAGACATATATTCAGTCATGCAACACTGAACCAAAATTAATTTCATAACATTTTTTGGGACAGCTATAGCTTTATTTTGGTGGTATGTAATTACCACTGGGTTTTTTTTTGCTATATAAAGAAAAAAGTACAGAAAATGTTGGAAAAAACTACTTTTCCTTACATTATGTTATTAAAAAACAGTTATTACTACCCAATTTTTTAGTAAAATTTAAAAGATGGGGTCATGTTGGGTAAATAGACATCAAATATGTCAAGCCTTAAAACTGCATGCACCCACAAAATAGCAAAAAATGACCATACCCCAAATTGCCCATAGGCGACGCTTTATAAGCTTTTAACGCTTAGTTTAGTGTTAACAGTGATTGATGGCTCTATATTTATTGCTCTTACTCCGATGTTTGGGGCTGATATGAAACATGTGGCACAATTGTTGTTTTCCCATGTACGTGCACCCGACACATGTTTGCATCTGTATGTGCATGGGGGCGGGGACATTAAAAATTAAATTTTTTATATATGACTTTTTTTTAAAACATTTTTTCTACACCTAAATTTATTGATATCACACAGGGTAACAATCCCACTATGTGATAGCTCACATACAGCGACCGAACATCTTTTTGTAGACATTAGGGGTCTATTAGAACCCTAATGTCACCTATGGTCCCCAAAGAAACTGATGAAGCAGCAATCTGCTTCACCAGCTTCTTTGCCAGCTACAGCAGCCAGAAAAATGGCAATACATGTCACTTCCGGGTCCAGTGATTTGGGCAGAGATCGGTTGCTGGGAGTATGCGGATCTTCCTCTGATCTAAGAGTACAGACCCACTATTCCAGTCCCAGGCCCGCATGGGGGATAGCCCGTGGTGGTGGAGGGGTAGCGCACACTCCCATGGAACATACAAGTGATTGGGCAGCTCTACGGCCGCCCAAATGCTTGTATGTAAACAGTCATCGCTGGCTGTTTAAAATGCTTTAAAAAGGTTTAAAATGTCCACCCACATTTAAGCATCTGCCATTCACCCATTTATTTACAATCGACTGAGTGACAGGGGGTTAATATCAGTCACAGGTTCACTCTGGTTTTTTGTCAGCTATTTAAGCCATGTAGTGGAGATCAGACAAGGCAGAGGTAGTGGGCTTTCCTATATTACTAAACTGTTAAGCCATTGTTGACAATTTAAGCTAGCATAGCATAACTCAAGCAAAATGCATGTCTGATTGCATAACATGAGAGTCATCAATGGTTTATTACAATGACAACATCCACTTACAATGTTTCCCACTCTTACTGAGGCCACTAAATTGTTTTTTTTTGTTGGCATCTCCCCCTAGTATTATCAGTCTTTCTTGAAGGGCTGAAAATAAAAGCAACACATAGTAGTCATGACTGACACTCAACATATATTTGGCAGTAAAATTAATTTTGCTTTATTGCTACAGGTTACCAAAAAGTGGGAATTGATGCATGCCTATTTAAATATTAAGCAGGATATTGTGTCAATGAATTTACCCTGTATGTTTAGTAGCTGTATTGTGTGATGCTGAATATTTACTTTAAACACATTGAAAATGTTGAATGTACTATGTTTCTTTTTGCAATATATTTTGCAGACAATAAACAGGACTGAGAAATGTTGGTCAGAAAACCTTGCCTTGAATGGATACACTTCATCTAGAAGTTGACTTCCAGTTTGCACAGGCATCAGACAAAAGCTTTTTTTTTTCTTTCATTTTTCTACCTTGCTCAAAAGTGTTTTTTATGTGCCGTGCAAAAACACACTAAAAACAAAAAAAATAAAAAAACAAAATTATATAAAACAAGAAAAAAAGTTCTGTTATGTTGACAATTTTATTTTTGTTACTCTTTTCGTAATGAACACATCTGAGGACAACATGCTGCGTTATCCTTCCAAGAGCATTGCAACATGAAGACGTATTTTGGGAACAGTAAAATGAGTATCAAGGGGAAGCATTTCTGACATCATCATAACTGTCTTCCTTGATAATTAAGCTATCCATTTATTTCATTTATTTTATATTTTTTTGTCCATAGGAAAGATTACCTTGAATTCTAATTGCCTTAATTTTAAGGACATCGAATAAACCCAGAGCAAAAGAATAGCATCTGGATAGAACAAAAGGCATGGCATTGACTAGAGTATTTGTGTGGACATTTCCAATGGGTTCCTAAAAGTAAAACATTAGATGTAAAATTTGACATAAAATCCATTTCTTCATTTGAAGAAAACTTTTGCTGAAGACTATGATGTGTGCAAGAATTAAACCATTATGTGTGGACTTTTATGAACTTTCTCTTTAGGGTGAATACAACATATAGATGGCTGTAGGTTTTTACAAAGGGGTCAATGAAATATGAAAAACAACTGCATTGAGAAAATGCAGATTTTATTTTATTTGCTGTCTTTTTTATTTCATTATTTTTATTTACAAACGTGTGATCGCTACTAGCAAAGGCATTAGTGCTTTCTATTTGCAATCTTTTTTATGAGCTTTAAGATATTTTTAGTCAGCTTTGCTTGTCATTCTGCAGAAACTAGCTTAATAGTGATAACATTATGTAGGAGTTCATGGTTAAAAAAAAAGCAAAAAAAAAAAAAAAGCAATAGATAGAAGAAATTGTTGACAATTTCTGTAGTATTTCCTAGTTGTGATCAAATGCAGCCTATGGATGGCCAATTTTATACCAAAGATGAAGTGACACCCTGACACAGTTCTGACAGTGTTTTTTTCTTTTGTTTTTCTTTTTTGTTGACCTATATGGCCGGACCAATTTTTACTTTCTTCATGGTTTAAACTATCTTCCACTGGTACTCTATGTTGTACATACAGTATTGTTTGTAAGATATGGTGAGTTGGTACAAACATAACATTCTGCTGAATGCTGCAGCTTAAAAATAACAAATACCAACTGTCAATTATGGATGTCATCCCCCAGTTTTGTTTTTTATAGTATAGCTTGATATTTTACATGGTTACCAGTCTTCCTTTTTTTCTAACTAGACCTCTTCTAAGTATCTGATTTTGTTAAATGTACATTCAATGACAGTTCATTTTCATGTTTTAGATGATGTTTGTCATTTTTAACATAACTCATTGACAATCATTTGATTGGTACCACCCAAACCAGTAATACATTATGGCAAATTGAATGGCCAATAAAATATGTATTTTGTATCTCAATTACAATACAAATTTCATCATTCAAGTGATGCAACCCCCAAATATATAATTCTAAATGCATAGTATATGATATGTCAGTGTGTAGATTGGGCATTTACCCATTTTCAATATCAGTCACTGAGTCTTGGAAAAGATATGTCATCCTATCAGGGGAGAAATGAAGCTGAAATCCAGACTCAAAAATGTTAAGTACCTTGAATGGAATCTCTACCAATATTAGAATCGTTGTGCAAATGTGGGTCCTGTTAAGAGGATTAATAATAACTTTGTAAAGTATATTAGCACTCTTTCCACCAGTGCTAAGCCAGCTGACTGTTCCATTCTCCTGGTTTCCTTCATGACATTCTGGTTGCCTACATGCCCATTTGAAATGTATGACTACAAAGAATGGAATGTTAATGTATGGCCAGGGATATTCACCCTCAGAATTTAAGTAACATACTGCTGTCATGTTTTATAGATTGTCTGTGCAGCTGTGGTTGATAATGAAATTACTACTTCCAGCTAGTTGCCAAAAATGTGGCAAGGTCTTATAATTTTGTTGCAGTTGCTATGTCATTAGGATGTGAGATAGTAAACACCCTCACTCAACCTCTGCTGCGGCTGCATTTAAAAAAAAAAAAATATGACCATGTGCCAGAATTCAGATGAATATTAAAGCTGAACTCCATGCAAACAGCTAAATTTACTATTTAAATTTTGTCCAGTTAGTCCTGAGCTCTACCAGACTGCACAGCTAGGTTGATGAACCAACATTTATCCACTGCAGTTAAGTAATGCAGTTTGGTCACCTCTCTGCCTCTTCTGCCAGCTTGTGCCAGGGTAGTAAATGAACAGCAGCACACTGATAAAGGCATCACTCACTTCCTGTCAGCCTGTTTCTTGTCAGCACATGTGCATGTAGAAAAACCTGATGAGTTTTTGCAATTAAAACACATCTTTGAAATGAATACATACCTTTATGTTTGACTGGAGTTCAGCTTTAAAGGTAGTAAGAAAATATTTTTTTTCATGTGCAGGTTACAGTGTGAAAAATTATGTGACTAATATTTGGGGCTGAGTGAATTAATAACCTACTCACAGATGTCTTCTGAAGCATTCAGTAAATGATGCTTGACAAAAACAGATTGCCAGAGTTAGAGTTACAAATTCTTTAAAGTGACACTAAAGCCATAAGTTAAACCTTACAAATGTATTCAAGTAGATCCTGAAATCATCTCTAAATTGGTGCTGACACTGCCCTTCCTTCTGGATGGTAGCTACTTTTGTTCCCCATTGTCCCTGTGTGTGTTGTAAAGTAGCCACCGCTCCAAGCTCACTCCCATCATGGGCTACAATCTCATTTATTTTACATACTTGTATTGAGATTGAAGTCCATCACACAAGTGAGCTTGGAGCGGTGGCTACTTTACAATACACACAAGGACAGTGGGAAACAAAAGTTAGCCACCCCCCAAAAGGAAGGACAGTGTCAGCACCAATTCAAAGATGAGTTGAGGATCTACAGCCAAGTGATACACAAATAATCTACATTTGTGTTAATAGTTAGGGTACTTGAATGCATTTGTAGGTTTACTGTAACTTCTGAGTTTAGTGTCACTTTAAATGTGATTGCAGAACTGCAGTTAATTTAGCTTAATTTATGGTCCTTGCATAATGCATAAAAACATCAGGAAATTCTCCCTTTCTCCTTCAGATGATTACATTTGATACCCCTTCTGCAACTTTTACTATATATATACCATAAGCTTCACTCCCCTATAACTTTTTTTATATATAGGACAGAAAACCCCAGCACTGTGCTCTATGATGCTCTTTCAGATATTACTGTATCAAAGCACAAACTTTCTGCATTTTTCAAGGACTGGAATACACTTATAAGTCACCTAGTTAGTTTATGCTGATATAGCTGGTGATCACTGTTTTCATTTGTATAAGAGACCAGTTCTTTTAATACTTGCGTGTTAAAAGTGTGTTGATATTCACAAACACTCATGTTAATGTGTTTGTGTTTATATACAATATGTACGTATCTTCCTTAGTGACATATCAATTTCACATTAATCTATTTTAGAAAATCTGATCTTATGAATTTCCAATATTAAGAAACATTTCCAATTAATTAAAATGTGATAAATCAGTGTTTATGATTGTAATAAATTACTATTGTTCTGTTTTTACTATTGCAATTGTTAGCCAACATCCTAGAAGTATTAGTGCTTCAAAGTGAAATGGCCATTTTCATTTAGTTTATAGAACATGCTCCGAAAGTCTTAAACATGCATTTGCTTCTTAAGCAGTGCGGATGTTTATATAAATGAATCCAGTAAATTCTGCACATGCCCATTGCGTACATATAGACAAATAACTTCACTTCAAGATGAAATTAGTTTTATATGTTTGTACATACATGTACATGTACTGTTGTGTTTCAAAGGGGATATCCACTCGTTTTTGACCAACAATTTAGTTGTATCACCTTTAAAACCATACAATTATAATGTATTGTATGACAAGGGTCTACTGTAATGGTTCATAAAGATTATGCTAACCTGTCTGCCTATTGTGACAATTTTACTAATATTATTTATGAAATGTGTTGCAATTTGAACAAACAAGAAAGCCCTACAAACATTCTATAACACTGTCAGAGCACGCGGTGGCTTTATACATATCAGTAAGTCCTAGTGGTTGATTTACTAAAGGCAAATAGGCTGTTCACTTTGCAAGGGAATTTTCCTTTAGCCTAGTGAATGAAGCAAAGCTCTGCTGACTTCCACCATCCAATCATGTGCAAGCAAAAATACTGTTTTCTAATTCCCTTGCACTTGATCTGGTACTCTTTGCAAAGTGAATTTTCACCACATTCACTAAGCAAAAATTCCCCTGCCAAGCGAACAGTCTTTTTGCCTTTGAATGTATATCCTAACCATAGATTGTTTTAGTGCAGCAAAGCATTATATGTTCACATAACATTTTTAAAAATATACAAAACAATTTCAAATACATATATAAAAAAAGAACATATAGGTAAATGTTCTCTATATTCTATTATTACATAACAAAGGATTCAACATTTTGAGTGGATATCTCCTTGAAAACACATATTTGTGACATGTGCTATGTTTTAAGATACTGTTCTGGCAGCTCTTTTCTTTATTTTTTTTTAATTCATTACAAATGAGTATAAATGTTCTGGCAAACATAAAATAGTGTTTTAAAAAAATACTTTTTTGCTTTCAAATTTAAAAAAAGCCTCAATAACGATCAGCACTTAGGTTCTGATGTAGCTACCATGTGGCCAAGGGGAGAGAGAAAGAGACTTCTTGTATGGTTGAAAAAAAACTGCTGCTATTTTTACTTGTGTAAACTAAACATCTACCCAATTAAAGCTGCTAATGGTAAAGAGTCTCTATTTAAAAGAAAAATCTCTTATGCCTGGGGCATTTTTATTATTTTTTTCTAAAACGTTGTTGTTTGTAAAGAAAACATACTGTATACTGTAAGTGTTTTGCATTGTTAACGTCTAAAGGTTAAGACCTAGAAATGAGCAAATCCGTGATTTGT